AGCAGTCACTATGAGCTCTCCATGGAGCAGCGGCCATGGAGAGACCATGCAGAGGCAGTGGGAAGTTCCCTTACCACCTCTTGGGACAAGTGCCAGCCCTCCTCCTCCTCCTCCCCAAGCTCAGCAGTAGCCAGAAGCGACTGTAGTCCCTGGTGCACAATTTGTGTGGGGGCAACCCAGGCACCCCACACATCCAAAGATCCCCATCCCACCTTGCCTGTCGCAAGGGGTCTCTGGCCTCGCCGCCACTTCCCCAGCCGCCTCGTTCCCCAGCCGCCAATGTTGGGGGGATTCACTCTCCATGGGCCTTATTGGCTAGCTGGGTTCCTCCTTGGATGGGCAGGCAGGTGGCGCAGTGTGGTCCCACTTGCCTCCAGCGGCAAGGGCTGGGATGGAGTGCAGGCTCTGTGAATCCTCTACACCCTGCTTGCACCCGTCCAACAGCATTGGTGGCAAGCATTGGGCTAGTGTGGTGTGTTCTATTCACCCTGTGCACCCCACCATTGTCTTTTGTAATTCTGGGACTGTCCCTGGAAAATAGGGACACTTGGAGAGTATGAGGTTTCCCTCCCACCAGCATTTTATTTTATTTTATTGCAATGTTTGAAGTGGGTCCTGAGTTAAAGGCTAACCCATCCCTTCAAATTTTTGAATGCTTCTGGGATTTCCCATGGGAGAATTTAAGACACCTCTTTGTGAAACACAAAAAGAGCCTGGTTCCTGGATCACTGGTCCAGCATCCTGTTCTCACAGCAGCAAGTGTGCCGCCTTGCCCCCGCAATTGAAGGGGCTGGTGCCACGCGATATGCATGAGTGACGTCAGCACGCCATGTGACATGATGACATCATGTGCGCAGATCGCATGATGTGCTGACGTGTCGCACATATGCCACAGGGCGGGCGTGAGTGACACGAGTATGCCACACGGACTGCTTGGTTAATGTAAGCATGTAATGCGGCATGTTTTCACTCCCCTGCAGATTTTGGGGAGATGTGGCCCCCTGCCTTAAATTGGGGGGACCCCAGGGCCCACCCTAGATGGTGCCTATGCACAGGGGCCAACCAGATGCCCTGATGGGAAGCTCTTGCATGCAGGACACTCCACTTGGAAGTTTTTCTTCTGAATATCATTTGCAATTGAGAAGCTGCATTAAAAAAAATAACCATTGAGCCTGCAGCCTCTGTTGCAGATTATGTGCTTTTGCCTAACAAAGTCATGGCAAAGAGCTAAGGATGAGAAATGCATCTTGTACTACATATGAAAATATTTCCAACAACTGCTGTCTGCAGAAAGCCTAAAAGCTGTGTGGGCGGGATTCTCCCAACACAAAGCTCTATTCGGTAGTCGCTGAGGGTTTTAACTTTGTAAGTTGGCACCCTACAGGACCAGGACCGCAAGCCTGTAATATTAGGTCACTCCCCAGAGCCCCCCCTTCCCCCGCCCATGCAAGCCTACTCAGAGCCTTTCATCTGTCACATCTGGACGCCTGGCACACAGTGGGGGTAAAGCTGAAGGAAATGGGAATCACATTTCTTTCCCTTCAGTTTCGTTTATTTTGCAAGACAGCTTGGATTTGGGGTGGGTGACCAAGGCTACATTTCACATCAGATGCCACTTTAAACATTCATGGCTTCTTCTCCTAAAGCATCCTGGGAGCTGTAGTTTGTTCGGGGTGGTGAGAGGTGGTAGGAGAACCCTGCTTCTTCTCCCAGAGCTACATTTCCCAGAGTTCCCCGTGAAGAGGGATTGACAGTTAAACCGCTCTGGGAATTGTAGCTCTGAGAAAGGGGAACCGGGGGCCTCCATAGCTCAATGGCAGAGCACCTGCGTTGCACAAAGAAAGTCCCAGGTCCCTGGTGGCATTTCCAGATAGGTTCAGGAATGCCCAGGGAAGTAGCGGGTGGGGGGAGCTGCTGGCTGCTCATGCCACCCTCCCTGAGCCAGCCCTGCACCACTTCAGGAGGCTGGGATCTAAAGCTGCTCGGGGAAGGCAGCGTGAGAAGGATACTATGTGCCCTTCAATCCCAGCCTCACCTCATGCCGCCCTCCCCAGATCCCAGACTCGAAAAGTGGCTCATGGGTTGGTGTTGCTCTAGCAGCATCAGCGGCAAGGGCTGGGCTAGCGCGCAGCAGGCTCTGTTTGCCCTCTGCACCCTCCGGTACATGTGCACCACCCAGGGGCTATGAAAACATGGTCTGCCCCTGCCTGAAGCCCTGCAGGGCTGCTGCCAGCTAGCAAAGATGGTATTGAGGTAGCTGGACCAGTGGTAGAAAACGGATCCCTGTGTTCCTAGTGCAGTTATGAAACTCACTGGATGGTTCTTGACAAGTCACTCTTAGGGACACCACTGGATTCCTCTCCAAAAACTGTTAGGAAACAGGGTCTGTCCTGCCAAAAATTCTGGCATGGATTGTATAATCTAGGAGAGATGCTGCAGCCCATGTCAGGGCTCCACAGCAGAATACCCATAAGGGTCTCCAGAATTCTCTAGAGTCCAGAGGCTTTCAGTAAGGCAGAACGATAAATGAGGTCATAGAATCATGGAATTGTAGATTTGGGAGGGGTCCCCAAGGATCATCTAGCCCAATCCCCTGCAATGAAGGATTCACAGCTAAAGAACCCCTGGCAGATGGCTGCCCAACCTCTGTTTAAAAACCTCCAACAAAGGATAAAGTTTCTTGTTTGTTCCACTGCTGAATAGAGCAGGGCAATATCTGATTTTCAACATCATGTTATTTCACTAGCTATACATTGTGATATACAGATATATCATGATGTTTGAAATAAGGATGGAGCTATGTAGGGGCTGGCTTCACACTTTTTCCTGCATTGTGATTTTTGCATAGCGTGTGTGCACACACACATATCATGATTCATGATATATTGCCAGGTCAAAAATTATGAAACTGATATCATGACATTGGACTTCAAAACAGTTTTGGACAATATATATTGCCCAGCCACACTGTCAAACAACTAATAAAGCAGCCTACATGTCCAATGAGCAGGGATGATGGAGTGCAACAACTTCTGAACATAGGACCACAGGAAGCTGCCTTATCCTGAGTCAGACTATTAGTCTCTCTAGCTCAGGACCATCTGCACTAACTGGTTTCAGGTGGGGAACATTCCGAGTCCTACCTGGAGTTCCCAGCAGGAATTGAACCTGGGGACTTCTGGAAGCAAAGCAAAGCAGATGCTCTACCTTGGAGCTACCGCCCTTTCTCTACAATAAAGCAAGATTCTAATCCTCATTGTTTTGGATAATAAATAGGAAATAGGAGCCTGTCTTATACCAAGTGTCAGATCTGTTGGTCCATCTCCTTCAGTGTTGTCTACACTGACTGGCAGCAGCTTCCCAGGGTACCCATGATGAGGCATTCCCTAGCCCTACCTGGAGATGCGGGCATAGATTGAACTCAGGACCTTCTGCATGCAAAGCAGAGCATGCAAATGCAGAGACCCAGTTTGAGGGCCAGCTCTGTGTAAAGAACTTGTTTTATACACTATCAATAGCCTTCCAGCACTACTGCCTGCAGAAATGAGAGGAACTGGCATTCAGAGGCATACTGCCCCAGTACCAGAGATCCAACATGGAGCATCATGGTTAGTAGCCACTGATAGCGTTGTCCTCCACGAATGTATCTATTCCAAGAAACTGCTAAGAAACCACTAAGGGAGTGTAACCTTTGTGAGCCTATGTCCTGCTTGGGTCCTGTTTGTGGATTTTGCATTAAGGGCATCTGACAGGCACTGTGGGAACAGGATGCTGAACTAGATGGGGATTCAGCAGCATCAAGATCTTATTATGTTCTAATGACTTGCAATAAACCTTGCTGTAACTGAATCCAAAGCAAAGCGTTGGAAGGGATCCCCAAGGGTTATGGACTCCAACCCACTGTAATACAGGTGTCTCTGCTCATCACTCCCTCCTGTTATTTCCTAAGGCGGCAGAGACTTTCCTCTTTCTTCTCTACAAGACTCCAGACCCATCGCCGGTGCTTTGTAAATACTGTACATACATAAGAAGCAGTAGGAAGCCCAGAACAAATGTTTATCACAAATATTTCACTTCATGGCATTTTCCAGTCTCAAAACTAACAGTCCAACTTTTTTCTTTGAAAAACAAAGCTTAATACTGTTCCAAAGATATCCTTATTGGAACAGTCTGTCTGATCTGGTTTCTATCCAGGTGTAACAGTAAGAAAACATCTCTTCCACGACCCACCAGTCAAAGGCAACACATATCATGGAACATTTTTGGGCTTCTTTCATGAAACCCAGATTTGGGGTTGGAGTAACATGATTTCGTGCGTTGGTCTCACTGACCCGCTCTGAGTTTTAGAGGCAAGAATTTGTTTCCATAAAGTTCACTTAAGGCACATTAGGGGGCGTCTGTTTTCTAAGTTCATTTGAGTTTGCAAAGTTCCTGCCTTTGATCCCCAGATTGTTCCTCAGGAGCGGGGCGGGGGGCGGGAGTTTGCAGCTGGACACAGTTACGCTACGGAGAGATAATCCCAAGCAACAGACCTTTGCAAACTGTATAGATCATCTTCCGCAAGAAACCTTTCTCCCTCCCTAGAAACGGGTAAGAAACACTTTGCATTTCTGAAGTTTTCTCCTTTTGCCCGTCCCAGCCCTTGATAAATGGCATTCAAAGGACTGGGGCTGCTAAAATTATTTATGATAGTGCAAAAACAGTGCAAAACCTAGATTTGCTCCTGCATCTCTTTCAGTTGCTGTTGCATATATATACTGTATGTATGTATGTATGTGTGTGTGTGTGAGTGTGAGAGAGAGAGAATATACGTATATATATATAAGGCAATTCCAAATCTAAGCACTGCCTCAAACCTTTCCCTCTAGGAATCATGTATGAACACGATGGGGGGGAAATAATTGCGTGACCCGAGGGCAAAAACTCTTTAGAAATAAAAAGAAGTAAAATAAACAACCTGCATCTATAGCAAAAACAATTGAGTTGTCGGTCCCACTTACCTGCGTGGCTCTGGGCTACTGAATAGAGAAGACACATTACTAGACTCCAAGGGTGAATGGACCTCATCACCCAAGTCCTCCTTTTCCATCTTGTGTGAGTATCCATCGTCCACCGAGACAAAACAGGGATAATTATTATTTTGCTTGTGCAAAAGACGCAGCCTCAAGCCTGGTGGAATATTCTTTCTTTCTTTTAATATATATCCCTCCCCACCCCCCAAAGGAATGTTCTCTTTACGAAGCCATGAGTTTGGATGCTTGGGATGGAAGAGGAGGAGACTGGACGTCTCCTTCCAGCTGCTCTGCCTCTTCTCCAAAAAGTCTGCAAAAAGTTTGCTTGGTGGCTGCTTTGCTTGGAAGATCGGCCGTTCCTTTCTTTCCTTAAGGGAGCCCACTGCTGTCCTCTTCCACCTCTGCCAGTGGCCCTCTGCTTGATCTGCCTTCCGGAGATGACTTTCTACACCGTGATGTTCCCCTTTCCCTTCTCTGATCTGGGAGTGAAACTTTTTTCTTTCCTCCTTCTCCTCTTTCTCCTCTTAGAGCAGATGAGGATAGGATGTCAATCCAGAGGTGCCTCGGCCAATCAGGATCTCGGAAGAGCCCTAATCCCCGCCTCTTCTTCCCTTCTCCTCAGATGGGAGGGGGAGGCGAGGGAAGGAGTTTGCAAAGAAAATTTTGTGTGTGTGGCAAAGAGAGAGGCCTGTCTTCCCCACCCTTTCAAGCTCCCCCTCCAACTAGGGCGTGAGAACAGGCAGGCAGAGGAGACCCCAGCGGGAAGTTTAAATCCAGTCGCTGGAGAATTGATGCATTAAAAGTGATGCATTTAAAAATAAAAAATCGTGCATTGAAAAAATGATGCATTGAAATAAAATCACAGAGCAAAATGAACAAGCACGGGGGTAGAAGAGACAGAGATTTCATCTGTTTAGCTGAGTACTGTTTGCACTGGCTGGCAGCAATTGGCCATGACTGCAGGGAAAGCTGTTTCCCAGCCAGCAATGTAGAAATCTACCAAATCTGACTTTCTCCATAGGAACCTACCAAGCCCTGTGATTATCATGTAAGGCCATTCTTCATATGCCTTCTCCAAGAGAGGTCCAGAGGGTGGCAACATGAGAACGGGCCTTTTATGCAGTGGCTCCCTGTTTGTGAAATGCTCACCCCTGGGAGATTCACCTGGCACCTTCATTATACACCTTTAGATGCCAGGCCAAAATGTTCTGCTTCAACCAAGCCTTTGGCTCAGTAACATCCTTTGCAGTGGTGCCTCGGTTTTCAAACATAATCCATTCCAGAAGATGGTTCGACTTACGAAACGTTCAAAAACTGAAGCAGTTACTTCCAGAAGCATTTACTTACAGAAAACTCAATATGGAAGCCGGAAAGCGTTTGAAAACCGATGCAGTTACTTCCAGGTTTTCGGCGTTTGAAAACCAGAACGTTCAACTTCCGAGACGTTCGAAAACCAAGGTACCACTGTGTTCTGTTTAATGTGTTTGTGGGAGAGGGTGAGGGTGGTTATTGTTTTGTTTTAGTTTTTTATTATATATTTTGTGTTTTTGCTTCTATTTTTGTGTTGTTAACTTCCCTGGTATACAAATTTAATAAATAATAATAACTTAATAGTTAAGAAGATCCTACTGGATCAGGCCAATGGCCCATCTAGTCCAACATCCTATTCTTACAGTGGCTGAACAGGAACCCAAAAAAGAAGCCCACAAGCAGGATATAAGTGTTAGCAGATCTTGCAGCCTGCTCTTTTCTTTCTAGTCCATTTTATTTTCCCCTCACTACCTGCTTCTTTTCACTTCACTTGAAATCCACTCTCCTTCTTTCTTGCTTTCTTGTTGAGGAAGGGCAGCTTAGATGAAAAGGCTTTTGGAAGGGAAAATTCAGGGAAACTTTGTTTGGAGTTCTAAATCAATGTCTGGGCCCAAAACCTTCTAGGAGAGCTTGCAGCTTGGAGAATTAGATCACTTATGGTTTCTGGAGTTTGAAGGTTTTATTCATGCAGGAACTGTTTATAGGATGAGTGGTGATGAGACAGAGAAACAGCAGACATTTTGCCTCAACAAGTGGAGAGATTTTTTTTTAATAGCTCAGCTTTTGGGGGTGGAATTAACGTAAACAGAGAGCTACTGGCTAGATTGCTACACAAGCAGTGCCCGCTGGTGGTTTAAAGTAAAACTTGCATTAGCTACAAATTCAACAGAATGAAATGTATGAGCTTTTCTCCAGCACTGAATGCAACAGAAACATTCTCCTCTGCTTTGATTTCCAGCAGCTGGTATACAGAAACATACTTCCCCCAACAGCTGAGATGGAAAATACAAAGAGTCTGCTGGATCAAGCCAATGGCCCATCTAGTCCAGCAGCCTGTTCTCAGAGTGGCCAACCAGATGCCCCGATAGGAAGAAGCTCACAAGCAGGAACCAATCACAAGAGCACTCTCTCCCGCTGTTGTTTCCAGCAACTGGTATTCAGAAGCATCGCTGCCTCCAACCATGTTGGTGGAGCATAGCCATTGTGACTTTGTTGTTGTTGTTGTTTAGTCGTTTAGTCGTGTCCGACTCTTCGTGACCCCATGGACCAGAGCACGCCAGGCACTCCTGTCTTCCACCGCCTCCCACAGTTTGGTCAGGCTCATGTTTGTAGCTTCGAGAACACTATCCAACCATCTCATCCTCTGTCGTCCCCTTCTCCTTGTGCCCTCCAAGCCCTCCTGATATGTGTTTAATTAGGGTTTGAAAACCTCCCATTAATTTTTAGCACCGTCCCCAAATTGATTCAGACCTAGGCCAGATGTGGGTAGGGTGTTCCCCAAGGCTGGCCACAGATTTGGGGTCAGGAGGGTGTCCCTAGCTCTAGCCACCACCACCAGATGGATTATTAAGAATGAACACTGTGGTTGAAAACAGTTCACTAACGTAACAACTTCAGAAACCTGTGTAGTGTTGTTGCAAAGTATCAGCAGAGAGAGATGAACCTTTTTTCTTTTTCTTTTGGCACTCAGACATCTCTCTGGCACAACAAACAGATTTCAGGTATGTGCAAATTCTGGATGATGGTTCGTCAAGAAATAAGCAAAATACACTAACATCCTATTCCACTTTGGTTGTTTTTATTTTATTGATTTGTTTGATTTGCTCCAACAAAATCTAAAAAACAAAAAAGAATAAAGGCTGTGCCCACTAGCAACTATCTTTGTCTCTGAAATGTCAGAGGGCGTGCAAATGAGGGTGTGGGTTTGCACATTTCTATGTAACTGGGACGCTCCTAAGGAGGTCAGTGACCCTTCGGGCTCAAGTGATCCTCTCCAGTGGGGAAGATTCTAGCTTTTACCACAACAAAACCATACATTTGACACACTGGAGAAATCAAGAGGGGAGTTGGCTGAGCTGCATTCGTGGCCTCTAAAATGACAGCATGCAGGTCCTGACCAACTTTGTGATTCACTTGATATTTGTCATTCTTCATCTCTCTCCTTTTTTTTTTTTTTGTCTCCAGATGTGGGGCAACTCCCCCGCCCCTCATTTTGGTCGGCACAAATAGCTCATTGTCTGGAATCGTGACCTTTTCAGTTTAATGGCAAAGCACCAGCTACTGCAAGGGAGATCTCGTGGATACCTTGATAGAGTCTCCATCGAAACTGTGTTGGAGACACTTCCCTTAGGGATACAGGGATGTGTGCATTTCAGCTTCTCATATTTAAAATCTTAACTTTGGTCCACCACATTTCCAGCAACGCTTGCATTTTTTTTTTTAAGTACACATGAAAATCCATGCATATGTTCATGTACATTTCACGTTCACACTTGGTTGAATGGGCTGCAGATCTTCTTATTCTCGTATAATAAACATATCCAATAAGTCTCTCTCGTCTTTTTCCCTGAAGCTTTGTACTCTACAAAAAAAAAAAAAAAAAAGGTGAGTAAGGGGAGACATGATAGAAGTGAATGACATGGAGAAACCGGATAGAGAAAAGATTTTCTCCCTCTCTCATAACATTAGGACTTTGTGTGGGCATCCAATGAAACTGAATGTTGGAAGCTTAAGGACAGATAAACAAAAGGACTTCTTCACATAGCGCAGTTAAACTTTGGCACTTGGGCTAGATCTAGACACATCCAACGTTTCAGTTTAAAGAGTTGTCAATTTAAACAGGGAAAACAGGTAGAGAAAAACGGGATTCCACACCACCATCTGGTGGCTCAATGTTATATCGCATATACAATGCATATAAATCGCTTTTCCTTTACCAGTCTAGCTGACTCCTTGCTCCCACAGGAGGCAGTGATGGTCACCAACTTGGATGGCTTTAAGAAATTATTTGACAAATTCATGAAGGAACAGAAGGCTATTGATGGCTACTAGTCTAACTATGCACAACTGCTAGTTAGTACATGAAGGGATTAAGGACCACAGAGCTGTATTGCTAGATAGACTCAGGGTAGGACTTGAACCAATGGCTTCAAGTTACAAGAAAGCGGATTTCAACTAAACATGGGGAAGAACTTTCAGGTGGGAAGAGCTGTTCGGCAGTGGAATAAACTCTGAGAAGAGCTAGTGGACACTCCTTCCTTGGATGTTTCAAGCAGAGGTTGGATGGCCATCTGTCATGGGTGCATTAGTTGAGGTTCCTGCATAGCAGGGGGTTGGACTAGATGACCTGTGGGATTCTGCCAACTCTACAATATAATGCTTCTATGATCAGAAAAGCCTGCTGGATCACGCAGATGAGAGGGCTCAGGCAGAGGAATCCCATGGGGGTGACACACCCATGTCCTTACCATTCACCCCATTCCATTCCAGCTGCTGCTGCTGCTGCTAGTGAATAGTGAAGCAGTGATAGTTTCCAGCAAAATCTTGAGAGTTCTCATGAAATTCTCATGGGATCTCACTGCTGCTCCTTCTCCTCAGTACAATACTGAACTGGATGGACCAAAGGCCTGACTCATACTATAAAGCAACTTCCTCTGTTCCTATTTTCTGGCAATTTATTCTTATAACCGGAGAGACCAGAAATTGAACATGGGACCTCTTGCTAGCCAAACACAGGCCCAGCCACTGACCTCTCAAAGCAGATCCACATTCGCACAGAGGTGGATGAACTTTATCATCCTGAGGGCCACATTGCCTTCTGAGAAACCTGGGGGCCACAAGCAGAGCCATGAATGCCAGCAATAACTTTTAGCGCAGTAGGCTCCAGATTCAATCCCCAATTGCATCTCCAGGTAGGACTGGTGAAGGCACCATGCCTGATAGCCTAGAAAGCTGCTGCCACTAAGTGTAGACAGCATTGAGATGGATGGATCCGTGCTCCTGTTTTAATCCAGTCCTTTATACAGAACCATGAAGACTGGAATCTATATTTTCAGGGGAAGAGCCATGGCTCATAAGCTGAGCACCTGCTTTGCATGCAGAAGGTCCCAGCTTTGAGCCTCGATAGCATCTCCAGCTTGGACTAGGAATTTCTCTACTTGAAGCTCTAGGGTGGCATTTCCAGTCAGCATCAACAATACTGAACTAGATGGACCAAGAGTCTGACTTGGCATAAGGCCTTCCTTCCTACTAACTTCTGTTCTGTATTCAGAAAAATGACTAGAAACTTACTTTATATTATGGGGATGGACTACAGCTCTGTGCCAGGGCCCAATCTTTTCAGGCAGGGGGTCCCAGGCTCAGTCCCCAGTGGCCTTTCCAAAGGAGGGCGAGGCATGTCCTCTGTTTGAAACCCCAGAAATCCACTGCTGCCAGTCAGTGTAGGTAACAATCAGTCAGATAAACCAAGGGTTTGACTCATTAGGCAGATTCCTATTCTCATAAGGGTAAGATGCTGGTCCAAAATCTACCCTCCAAGTTCTCCAAAGTTTTCTTCTCTGGGAATGTGGCTTCTGTTTTTCAGTCTCATTCAAGCAATCAGAGTTTATGATGCTGGTAGACCAATGTTCTGACAGGCAGTGTAAGGCAGTGATGATGATGATGACAATGATGATAATTTATTACTTATACCCTGCCCATCTGACTGGGTTACCCCATCCAATCTGGGCGGCTTCCAACAGAATATAAAAGAACACAACAGAACACCAGACATTAAAAACTTCCCAATACAGCATTGCCTTCTGTGAAAAGTCTTTCTCTCTTTGACATTTGACGGTCAGGGGTGGAGGAAGGGGGGTGCCGTGGGCAGGGACGCGGACTTATAAAAAATATTGGGGGGGCCCGGGAAAGCTCATGAATAATAAATAACCTCATGAATATGCAAATAAAGTGGCGCCGCCTCCTCGTGAGCGAATAGGGGAGAGCGTGCTGCGCCTATTAATCAGCTCCGGAACAGCTGATATGCGGGAAACGTGGGGCTAGCCGGAGAAGAGAGGGCGAGCCCCCTCCGCTCCGGCCCTAAATAGGGCAAGCCACACACCCCCAGCCAGCCGATTGGTACCCGGTCGTTCTCGCGGGGGCTGAAACCGCCAGGAGGAAGGAAATTCCCCCCGGCAGTGCCTTGGCAGTGGCGGTGGTGCTGCGAAGCAGCGAGGCAGGAGCCCCCGCCCCCGGGGATTCCCTAATCTCGCAGGGGACGGCCGGGGCTCTCCGACTAGGGCGCGCGGCTGGCTGGCTGGCTGGCGAGGGAGCAGGTGGGGAGGAGGCGGGGGATGGCGGCGGCGCTCTGCTGGAAGGGCGCCCGAGATTATTGGGGGGGCTGAGCCCCCCAAAAAAATTTTTTGAGGGGGCTCGAGCCCCCTCAGGCCCCATGGAGTCGGCGCCTATAGCCGTGGGTGCGGTCTGCCCTGAGTGTCACCACTGAGGGAGGTGACAAAATGCTGGGCAGAACTCACCGCGGTGCCTGGTGCGCCCAAGACATGTGTCTCTCCTGTGCTGCCCAAACAGTCCGCCTGCTGCCTCCCCACCAGCTATAGGGTGGCTGAGTGGGAGGAGGCAGGCAGACCTGCCCCTATGGGTGCAGCGCCCCAGGTGCCCAAGCAGCTTCCTCCACTGCCACTGACGGGAGGACGTTGGCTATGTCTCTGGTCACATCATCCATAGAAAGTGTTACAATTCCACTTTAAACAGTTATGCCCCCCCCCAAAAAAAAGAATCCTGGGAGCTGTAGTTTATTTAAGGTTCTGAGAAGTGTTGAAAGACAACTCCCCTCTTGCAGTTCCAGAGTGGTTTAACCATCAGTACCTCTTCCCAGGGAACTCTGGGAATTTTAGCTCTGTCATGCCCATGGGCATCTGGTTGGCCACTGTGAGAATAGGATACTGTGCTAGATGGGCCAGGTAGTCTATCACACTGTCAAAAGGCTCTTGCCCTCAGGAAGTTCTATCCTATTGTTTGGTTGAAATCTCATTTCTTGTCATTTGAATCCACTGGTCCAGGTCCTGCCCTCAGGAGTGGAAAGCAAGCTTGCTCCATTTCCCATGTGACAATCCCTCACATATTTGAAGAGACTGATATGGGGGAGACATGTTTTATTGCATCTGGGACACATGAAGGCATCTGGTTGTGCTGCTGCAGATACACTGTGGTGCTTCTTCTCCCTGCACTCCTCCCAGGGGTCATTTCTCCTGTGGTCACTGCTGTGGATCTATAACCTGACTATCTGTCTCCAGGCACTGTGGTCATCTGCAAGGGATTCCCACATGGTAGGGTTGTCAGCCTTCATGTCACGTTTGCAGACATCTTTGTAACACAGAGTTGGCCTGCCAATGGGCCTGGTGCCTGAAGCCAGCTCCCCCATAGAGCACGTCCTTGGGTATCCTGCCACCTTCCATTCTGTGGACGTGACCAAGACAGTGTAAACATCATTAAGACAGGAGTGCAAACATATTGGGAATGTGGACTTGGGAGAGCACGTTTTTGTTTGAGACTCTATCTTGCCATGTGATACCCAAAATATTTCTGATGCAGCTCATGTGAAAGAAGTTGAGGTGTTGCTCCTGGTAGTTGTAAGTTGCAGCATGCTCAACATGCAAGCCTTGTAGACCTTCATCACATTCTTTCATAGCTTTTCAGAGAGGCAAGCAATTGTCATGGGAGTTGATGGCGTTATTCAGCTAGTTGAGGGAGGAACATCCAGCTTTTCCAAGACAGGCAAAGTCTGGATGCTGTTGATTGCTGTGTCAGTGAGTACAGTTCTTGATAATGATTGGTCCATTGCTTCATCTACTTGCTGTGGTCTGTGATGATCTCTCCAGACAAGGTTTTCAGAGTGCAATTTTCCTGGCTGTTGGTCCAAAGGCTTCCTTCATGCCTTTGTACATATGTGAGTTTTGCCAGTGGCAGCAGTGAATTGGATGCTCCCACACAGCTTTAGCCAATAGCCACTGGCACATTGTTTGGCAATCTGCTGGGCATTGCTCCCTGCCTTTTTCAGTGAATGTCTTCCTGCAGGGCAGATGCTTGTAGTTCACAAGAGCCTCGCACTTTGCAGCCAGAAGAGGCTCAATGTCAGTCTCAAACCAGTCTGGGATCTGTTGTTCTCGTTTGCCAAAGGAGGACATAGCTGTGTTGTAGGCTACCTGTTTGATATGGTTCTACCTTGCTTCGACACTTTCTGTGAAGCAGTTCAGTACAGCTTGTTTGACAGAATCAGAGAAGCATTCACAAAGTTCAGGTATGGCTGTTCCGGCATTGATTTGAGGCCACACTTTCTGCTTTGTGCTATGGGCCCACTTTGGTTGGAGATGGATCTTGCTTGCCACCAGGGAGTGATCTGTGTCGCAGTTAGCACTGTGGTAACTCTGTGTGACACAAACACAGTTCAGTGCTCTTCACCTGGTGACAATCAAGTCTGGCTGGTGCCAGACAACACAGCTATGTCCTCCTTTGGCAAACGAGAACAAGAGATCCCAGACTGGTTTGACCTTGGAAGCCTTGACCTTGGATGTCTCCAGGACACTCAGTGTTTTGTCTTGATAGAGAAGAATGTGTTTGCGATAAAGAGGCTGTGAGCCTTTGTCCGTTCTCATTGATGCTGTCAATATCAAAGTGGCAGTTGTCCCATATGTGATGGTTCCCAACTCTGGGACCCTCCTGGCAGCCTGGTCCAGTTCCTTGTAGAACTAGTCCTTGGTCAGAGCACATTGTGGGAGTGTAGACGCTCAATGTGTTAACCAGGCTGAAGGTAGTTGAGAGGCAAAGGGAAAGTAAGCTTTCTGAGTCCGTGGTCAGCAATTCTATTGCACACAGCAGCCATCGGGTTTCACCAGAATTTTCCCTCCTCTTTGAAAATGTGCAAATACAATTTGTTTTATTATTTATTTATTTATTGCATTTATATCCCACCATTTTCTCC